CCCCCCCAAACCTTGTAGCATGGAAGTGGTCAACCCCCCCCCCCCCCCCCCCAAACCTTGTAGCATGGAAGTGGTCAATGTCAAAGCAATCTTGATTGAAATAGTAATGTGTCATTTTGTGTATGTTTTAGGAAGTTTTAGTGTAATGTGTTACAATGTATTGTGTGACAAGTACTGCACAAGGCAGTTATATGGATACTGTCCGTCATGGGCATTAGACTGGGAGTATCGAAAGGTGGCAATTATGAAAGAAATTCTACATTATGGAGCTGATATTGTTAGTCTTCAGGTCAGTACCTGTAGAAAGAAATCTTGATTTGATTGATGGTTACTATGTAGACAAATAGGGTGCAAGAATTCACCTAAGCATGAGAAAATTGTTATTGACACTGCAGGAGGTTGGGACGGAGCAGTTCTTTCACTTCTTCATGCCAGAGCTCCAACAACATGGGTATGATGGAATCTTCAGTGCAAAGAGCAGAGCAAGAACAATGTCCGARGATGAGAGAAAACATGTTGATGGATGTGCAATATTCTTTAGAAAATCAAAGTGAGGATTATCTTCATTTACTTATTCATCATTCATAATTGTAACTTATTAGTTATTATTTTTGTATTGATTGTTTTTCTTTTATCTTTGTTTGTTGTTTTTTCTTCATTTAATTTCTTTAAAATATTCCATTCATTTTTTCAAATTTTTCCCTTTCTTTATTTATCCGTTTGTTCAACAATGAAATCTACATGTATAATATGTATTTACTAATTTATTCATAGATGAATTAATTTGTTTGAGTTATAAAATCTTCTTTATCCTCTAAGGTTTGCATTGGTAAAAGAATACTTAACAGAATTCAACCAGATTGCAATGGCAAATGCCCAAGGGTCAGAAGACATGCTGAATAGAGTGATGACAAAAGATAATATTGGAATAGCRGCATTATTGGAGTTGAAAGATTCAGGGTACATGGGTTATGGTGGAGGTCAGCAAGTACTTGTATCTAATGCWCATATTCATTGGGACCCTGAGTTCCGAGATGTCAAGCTTATCCAGACCGTGATGTTGATGAATGAGTTAACAAGGATTATGAAAGAAGCRGTGCCAGGATACCAACCACACGGAGGTATGAATTAGTAAATATAATGTTTATTAAACCCTTGCCTGCTTGGCTTTACATGGTATTATGTCTGGACACTTATATGACACTGTGATTATTGAAGGTAAGAATGGAACAACACCATCCAARCCAATTCCTGTTGTAATATGTGGAGACTTCAACTCTCTACCAGACAGTGGTGTCATAGAGTTCCTGGACAAAGGCAGAATACCAGTAGATCACCCTGACTTCCAGGAAATGCAGTATGAAGGGTTCTTGTCCAGGCTAAGCAATGGAAATGGTAAAAATAGTGAGCAGTGTGCAGAGTTAACGCATGGTTTAAAGTTAAAGAAGGCCTAYGAYGGTGAAAGTCAGATGCCATATACAAATCTTACGTACGACTTCAAAGGTGTAATAGATTACGTCTATTATTCCTACAACAGCCTACAACCGTTAGGGCTCTTGTCATCAGTGGATCCAGAATACATCAAATCAAATAAAATCACGGGGTGGCCRCATCCTCACTTCCCATCAGATCATCAGGCRTTGTTAGTTGAATTTGATGTTTATGGCACCATACCACGATTTCAAGGCTTCTCATCCAATAGTAACAGCCTACCGAGGTAGCCGTGTGCATGTCTGTTAGAGACACAAGATAAGTGTAAATTTGTAACTATAGTCTGTATAAACGGCAACTTTTGCCTGGATTTTATGAGTCTGTACTACACATCACCCATATGYTATAATACTTGCGTACATTCCCTAGGGATTTAACTGTATTTTATTATTATTAATGTCCATTTTTTCCGTGTCGTGTCTTATTATGTTGGTGCTTCAAGATTTTGCTAAATTTTGCTAATATTTTGGATTAATTTGTATTGGTTATTTGATAAAAAAGTCCTCTTTGCATCTTTCTGTTGCTTGGAATAAATTGAGTGTAAAGACAAGATTGACAATATATGCTTCCTAGTAGTAACATGACATACAAGCTCTGTGGAGGTCATTAGAATCAGCTCTATCCAGGAGACAAAACAACAAGCTCTTATTGCCAAGAGATGTTTTATTTTGTACCCCAGATGAAGCTGTTTTGACCTCACATGCAAGGGGTCTTTATACAGTGTATAGCTATTCCAAGCCAAGTTGTCAGTAAGAAAGACTAAAAGTTAATCACCTGACCATGAGGTACTATGAGATGTCTATAGCTATCCCATGATACCTAGAGGTCAGATAATTAAGTTCCAGGCTTTCTCAAGTACTTGTTCATTTCCACTTACTTTGTTCTTCAGTGGCTGAATGATTGCAGAGAGGACACTCGATTTAATATTTTTGGTGCAATTGGCAATTGAAGCAATGSTTTTTCAATCTAAAATGGAAGAATCCTCACAACAGACTTACAGACTTCTTTTAAAAGACTGTAGTGATTGGCCGTAGGGTTGTCCTGTTTATTAACTTGTTCTTTGTTTGAAAGATTTGCAAATACTGCAGAGATTGTAATATGGCACAAGTAATGCAATAAGTTTAAGAACAACATTTTTTACATGTTTGGGCAAGTCTATAGCCCATAAATTTAGTTGTTAATACATAATAATAGCGACACATATTTTGTTTAAAAGAAATTGTAWTGTTTCTAAACAAAATAATGTCCAGTCTGTTGTAATAAGCAAGGCATCTTAAAAAGACAAACCTACTGCCAAAGCAACGTCTTCATTGTGTCGTGAAATTCAAAGTAACAATGAAGTTTTAAGTCAAGAAGCTTTTGTGCTGGTTTCTTCCATTGAATTTTACTCAGTTGGAGATTTTTTTGTATGTTTATATATACTAATGCATGCCATTGTGCTTAATTGGCATTTTTGATTTATTATTAATGATATTTATGCATGTGCGCATGAGAGATGTTGCATCTAATGCTATAATAATTAGAAACAATCCTATGAAGTCTTRAAATAGGATGAGATTTGATCTCTGCTTTTATATATTGCATATAAGTGTCTTTTAGCACCAATGTCTCAGTGTTTTAGTAATCCAGCTTGCAGTGGAATGGTTATTATTACATGTACTTTATAGTGAGTAGTAGAACATTATGAATTCTTTTAACATTTGGGTCAATCAATTTGCATGCAGAATKATATAGAATAGTTCCAGTAATTAGGTAAATAGCATTTAAGTCACRGCATATTGTATTTAAGACTGATATTTCTGTTAATAACATGTTAATAATATCCAAGGATGGTTAGTTAAGGTGCCTTAGTGGACGAGAACGTACGCACCTTACATTAATTACGTAATTTTTCTTTTAGACTGCAACATTATTAAAATTATCATCTATTTCAATAATTCCCT